TTACAAAGACTTTTATGCTATGTAATATACCTGACACTTTCTCTCTCAGCCTTGGCTCAATAACAATGCATTGAATAAATCAAACATTTTCGTACCTCAACGAATTCTCTCTCAAAGTGTGCCCTCCAACATTCTGACGTGTACGCTCGTCATTTATACGCCCATCAAGCGCCCTCATCCTCCGGAGAGCCTGATCACTCGATTTTTCAGCACGAGCAGACCTACGTGCATTTCTAGCCTCTTTTTGTAGCTCAGCCTGAAGCTTTGCTAGCTGAGCCCTAAGTGCTTCTGCTTCTGCTTCTTGGTTCAGTGGAGCTTGCAGACGTCTTCGATGTTGCTTTCTAGAAATGGAAAGCACAATAAAAGAGAAAAGTTAGAAAGTTTCTGTGGATAAGGGTTACAAAAACTTCAATGCTATGTAATATACCTGACCCTTTTTCTGACAACCTTGGCAATGTAATGCCCCTCATTGCTAATATCTGTTAATATCATAATCGACATCAATGTCTAGAGATAGAACGTAAAACTCAAGAAAATTAAAGCAATACCTAGTCGTTTATTCACATCGAAAGCCATTAGTACTCGATTAACGCGTCGTCTAAACATTTCCTTAGCTTCAATGGGAGAGCTGACATCCTCTTCATTGATGCTCTGAAGCTTGTTTCTCAACTTCTTGCTAAGAGCATTGCTCATGGGCACTTCCTCGAATGCTTCCTCTTCTGCCATCAGTACTGTTGAACAAACAAAAAGAAATGTTGGGTCAGGTATAAACCTCAATGAAATAACCAATCCATTAGAAATAAGAAATCAACCCTAGAACTAATTTAATCATTCATTAGGCAGTAACTAAAAGCATTCACAGTAAAACTCCCACTCAGAACATACATTAGACTCATGGATGCTTTTAACATACACAAACATCAATCTAATGCGGAAGTAGCTGACCAATAATATCAGAACTAAGAAATATCCATCTTGAAACGCACATAAAATTCTAAGTTGGAAGAGATTTTAGAAAAAACATCTAAAAGCATATGCAGTTCAAATCTCACTGAATAGCATAACCACAGTGGAAACGTCCAAGCAGTAAAATCAGATTTCAACATATCCAAGGGAATGATAATGCTATGTTTGATGAATTCAAGAGGTCTATGATGAATGAATTTGAAATGTCTGACCTTGGAAAGATGCATTACTTTCTGGGTTTAGAGGTGGTCCAATCTGCAGACGGGATTTTTGTTTCGCAGAAGAAATATGTAAGGGTAGTTCTCGAAAAGTTTAAATGAAGGAATGTAATTCTTGTGACACTCCAGTTGAATTTGGTTTGAAATTGCACAAAGATGAAGGAGGAGAAAAGGTTGACAGCACACTCTACAAGCAAATTGTTGGTAGTTTAATGTATCTAACATCAACGAGACCGGATATTATGTATGCGGTTAGTTTTATAAGCAGGTATATGGAGAATCCAACAGATATGCGCCTGCAAGTTACCAAGAGAATCCTTCGTTACTTGCAAGGAACTAAGGATTTTGGGATGTTCTACAAGAAGGGTGTCAAGTCTGGCTTTGTTGGATTTACTGACAGTGATTTTGCAGGGGATATTGATCACAGAAGGAGCACCTCAGGCTATGTTTGTATGCTCGGAAGTGGGGCTGTTTCATGGTCCTCTAAGAAGCAGCCCATTGTCACTTTGTCAAGCACTGAAACTGAATTTGTAGCTGCTACAAGTTGTGCGTGTCAAGCAGTTTGGCTAAGGAGAATTCTTGAAGGGCTGTAGTTTGAACAAGAGGGAGCTTCTACTATATTTTGTGATAACAGCACTGCTATCAAGTTGTCAAAGAATCTAGTACTACATGGAAGAAGTAAACATATAGATGTCAGATTTCATTTTCTCAGGGACTACACAAGAGATGGAGTAATCCAGCTTCTACACTGCAAGAGTGAAGACCAAGTTGCTGATGTAATGACAAAACCTTTGAAGATTTCAGTTTTTCAGAGGTTAAGGAAACAGTTGGGTGTCTGTGAGCTCATTTAAACTGGAACATACTTGATGTTTCAGTTTAAGGGAAGGAATGTTGAATAAGTCAGTTGACAAAGTCATTACTAAATACTAGGTTTATCATTTCAGTTATTGTCCTATTTTTATGTCATTAGTTACACTCTTGTGGCTTTCCTTATTTTTAGGAAATGCAGTAGTGTCTATCTTGTTGCTTTGTATAGCCTATAAATTGGCGTAGCTATAGACTAATAAAATCATCAAGTCCTCTTCCCATTTCTGTTCTGTGTCTGGAACTATATTAATATTTATAGTTTTAACATTTCTTCTAAACAAGGTTGCCTACAACCTGTTTGATAAAATTCCCCAAAGATAATTTGTCTTACAGGGTCAGGTATAAACCTCAATGAAATAAGAAATCAGCCCTAGAACTAATTTAATCATTCATTAGGCAGTAAGTAAAAGCATTCACAGTAAAACTCCCACTCAGAACATACATTAGACTTATGGATACTTTTAACATACACAAACATCAATCTAATGCGGATGTAGCTGACCATTAATATCAGAACTAAGAAATATTCATCTTGAAACGCACATAGAAATTCTAAGTTGGATCGGAAGAGATTTTAGACAAAACATCTAAAAGCATATGTAATTCAAATCTCACTGAAAAGCATAACCCCAGTGGAAACGTCCAAGCAGTAAAATCAGATTTCAACAGATCCAAGGAAACAAACATTTGCATCTTAAATTTAGCTTGATTGTAGAGTTTAAACGTTTACCCTTGCATATAGCTGATTGAACTACGCTACTCTATCTTGGTTCTGAGCTTCTGCTTGCGACTATTTCCAGATGGGAGAGTACATTCCGGCTGTTGAATCGCCTTGCCGCCGCAAATTTTACCTTACCGCCGGTTGTACCGTATTTCCGGTACAACCGGTAATTAGATCGAAGGAAGGAACAAAGAAACTGAGACCGGCAATCGATTTGAGAGACAGCAGCGGGAGACAGGGAGCATGGCGATTGAAGAGGGAGAAGAGGAGGCTTGGCTTTGTGATACTTTATTTGGAAATGAACATCACTGTATTATTTGTAAATTAATACGGAGTACGTAGTATCCGTATCATAATTATATAAAATAGATACGTGAAAATGAAACTACCTTATTTCAAAATGAGTACTATCTTATTTCAGAATGAGTATTATATATTTTAAATTTAACACTTATGTTTATGCGAGAATGAGTAGTACTTTCATTCAGAATGAGTACTCATGGTTGTACATACCTCTAGGTACAACCGGTTGTACCATATATATGCTCCTAACTCTAGAAATGGTACTCGGTAATTGATGATAATGCTCAGTCCAGTCCCTGACTAACGACAGTTAAAATGACATTAAAACAATTTTAAACCTTATACTATTTTTCCAAAATAGCACTTTGTAGTTGGGTATTTTTCAAATAGCACTTTGGTGTACCCCATTTGTCCCCCACCCCATTTGGTGTACCCCTAGCATTTTTTTTTTTAAATTGGTCCTTTTTTGAAATACGAATACATCAATTGTGAAAAAATATTTTAAATTTTATAGGATGATAATATAATGCTAAAAACTATAAATATAATTTTATAAATTCGAAAGTAACGTTTTAGATTATTTTCAATTATTTAAAAGAATTTCATGTAAACAAAATATTTAATAAACGTTGAATAAAACACCCTATATAGGGGTAAAATAAAAAGAAAAGAGCTCCTATTTTGGCACCTTTTTATGTTTTAATCTCATTCAGAGTATTTCTTTAAAAATTATTAAATATTTTCTTTAGATTCTATTCTTCCAAATAATTATAAAAATTGAAAATATTCGTTTTTTAATTAATATAATTATATTAATAGTTTTAAGCATTATATTATCATCCTATTTGATTTAAAATATTTTTCTTTAATTAATGTATTTTATTTCGAATAAATATATTTTTATCACCAACGAAAGAAATAAGAATGACTGTGGACCCTTGGATGCAGAATTCAGACTATATTATCCTACGCATTTTTAAGGGGTATATAAATGTGTGTTTTCAATTAAAATTCGTTTCTCTCTCTCTCTCTCAATCAGTGCTTCCTTCCTCGCGAGAATACCGGACGAATTTTTATTTTCTCAAAGACTATTGTGGATCTTCCTCTCACGAACTCATAATCTCACGCATCAATCTAGATTTACACTGTGTTTGGATGGAGGGAGATGGAGGTAGAATAAGGTAGAAATTTAGAACTACCTTGTTTGGGAAAGAAATTGAGATAGGTGAGGGGAGGTGAATGGAGGTAGCTTTACCGCATAACAGTGCAATTTGGGCTACCGCCAATTCCCCGATCAACCTAGGTCAAATTTACCCTTCCTCTCTGCCCTTCTCCATTCTTTCTCTTTCATTTTTTTTCTTCTTTCTTCTAGGCTCCAGGCCTTCGGGGCAAATCCTATCCGCCGGAACTGTAGATCAGCGGCCCGGTGCCAACATCTCCGTGCTTCCCCCCTTACCAGAATTCCAGCAGCAGAAAAGATTAGTGGAGAACGAGGACAGAGAGAAAAAGAAAGAAACGGAGGAGAAAGAAGCAGAGGGGAAGAAGGAAAGATGGGGAAGAATTGAACGAAAAATAAAGGGAGGAGAAAGAAACAGGGTGAAAGACGAAAGATGGGGAACATAATTAAGAAAAGGGAGAAAGAAAGAAACAAGATAAGAAAAGAGGAAAACATAATTCCAACCAAGTAGGGGTATTTAGGTATTTTTATCATTTTCTACCTCATGTTACTTAATAAATATCCAAACACAAATTTTGACACCATTACCTTACTTTACCTACCTTCAATTACCTACCTAATAAAACTTTTACCTAACTCCAACCAAACATAGCCTTAGGTTTCCATGTAGTTTGGAATACCATAATCTTTCAATTTTGTATTCCTAATTAATCCTTGAGTGCGACCATAGTGATAAATGGATTCATATTTGTGATCGATTAAGTCTGCAATAGATTCGAATATGGATTCATGTATGCAATAGATCCAGATCGTAGACTCAGGTTTGCATTTTTACATTCTTTTTGCTATATACGATGTCTTTTATATTTAACAACACATATTTTTAAATTTATGAAATCAATTTAATTATGTCTGCTGTTAATGCTCTCTCCTCTATCCTTGAATGATTTAACAAGCTATTCGGAGAATCACTACACGACATTGATCGATTTCACTCTTGCATCCATCTTGATTCATTTCCTTATTCTTGTTATGTGATTTTTCATCATCTAATGCACTTTATCATCATTTTTTGGTGTGAAGAATTATATTCATAAGATTTCATTTTCAAATATATTTTTCCATGTTATAATATGCTTAACTAAATGCACTACATTGCATTTCGTGTTCTTTAGTTTGCATACCCAAATTTTTTTTTTGCACACTTTGTGTTTATGGATTGCCTCTCTTCACAATTCACTTTCTATTCTTGCATTATAATTTATGGGCAGGCTGTGAATGGGTGTCTCAATAATTTTCATTTTATGGCAGTTCGTGAGATGGATGACAATTTTTTGGGTATAGGATTTCATTTTTTTGAATGCCAATGAAGATTTTTTTTTTCAGTTTTACCTGAGTTTGTGTATTGACGTCTCAATATGTTCAATAAATAAGGATAACGAAGCCAAGATCTATGCTTGTGAAAGTGATGGTGAGGAAGATGCTACTGTAAGTATATAGGAAGATGATGCAGGCATACAAGATGATGATGCATACAAACATGAAGAAGACACTTTGTTGACATAAAAGACATTGTAACAGTGATTTATATGGAAGTGAATTTGATATAATGTTTAGCTAAATGATCAAACTAAACTCTTAACTGTATTGTGTTTGGTCATTGTTTAATTCTTTTATACTCCCTCCGTCCCTATTTAATCTGAACACTTTGACTTGCATACACTTTTAGAAAGTAGGTAAAAAGTAATTTTTTTTCCAAGAATACCCCCAACCAACCCGTCCAAAAGAAAAAAGCAAAGGCAAAAAATAAGGGAGAGAGGGGGAGTATTTAATTAAAGTAAACATCACATCTGTAACACCTACCTTCCGTGAACCCGGTTCACCCGCGACCCAACGGACCGGTAGGGTTACATGGGCAGTCCGAGAACCGTCCGTAGAGAAAAACGCATTAATGTCTATTTATTATGTAACGGTTGGGTTTAATTGATGAAATAAATGATAGGAAGTTATTTGCAAAACGTGTGTGACATTAATGTAGAGTAAAAGCGGAAGTAAATATATAAGTCCAAAATAAGTAAAACGACATTTGATGGGTTCATGCCCAAACCATTAATTAATTCAAATGATTATAATTATTAAACCCGTCCATGCGCCGCCCATCTTCCCATTATAACTGTCCTCAGGGTTAGCACCTGTACCGTCATGTCTACCTGCGTGTAGCAAAACAACTACACTACACGCTCAGCGGTGAAGCTGAGTAAGCATATCTAAAGCGTCGAACATCCACATAATTTGAATCCAAATTCATAATCAAATCATTTGATATCATGCACAGAGTATTCAGTTCAAATATACAATAATCAATATTCAACATTCGTCATTCACTATTCATATTCAACATCCAACATCCTCATTCAATAATATCCTTAAACTATTCTTAGTCTAAGGCCAATTTATTTGATGTTTACCAACTCTTAAACTAGTTCTAGTTTAAGGTTCCTCTATCCAACTCTTAAGCTAGGTCATTAGTTTAAGGTACATATATTCCGATTGATTTACCAACTCTTAAACTAGCCTTTGCTTAAGGTACAAATCTATGTTAGAATAAAAGACCAACGCTAGAGGGGGGGGGGGGTGAATAGCGTTTGTCGGAGAAATCGCAGGAATTAAAAATTTGAAAGAGAAGTAAAGAGAAGAGTAAGAGGCACACCGAATTTTACCCTGGTTCACCACAACTTGTGGCTAATCCAGCCTCCCGAGAGACTCTCTCGAGCTACACTACTAACTCGTTAAGCTTACGGGTGCTTAACAAACCGTTACAACTTGAGAGTTCGAGTCACACGAACCTCAACGAATCCTTCAAGGGAAACAGATCTTCCTTTGAATCAACCGAGAGAGATAATATCTCTCAACGTGTCTAAGAACACAAGTACACTCAAGAACGAGACTCTCTTATAGAGTAGATTATGAGTAAACTAAGTACGCTCAAGAACAACTCAACCTTCACACAAGTGGCTCTAGAAAGCTATGGAAAAATTATGATATTTGAATGCAATGAAAGTATAGATGTTGTGAAGTGAATTGGTGAGAAAAGCAGACCCAAACACCCCTTTTTATAGTGCAAAATTAGGCTCCAACGGACCAATGCATTAAAGGAGTGATTAGCTTGATTTAAGGGATTGAAAAGATTTGGGATCTGCAGAATATTGGCTTCCCATCGATGTTTAGACTCAACCATCGCTGGTAAGCCAATTTTTCTTCTGTTTTGAAGTCAACGGTCACCTACCCATCGATGGGTACAAGCTTCCCATCGCTGGGTGGGAGGTTGACTTCCAAACAAGGAAAGAATCAACCTTTAATGACCACCAACGGTCATGCCTTCCCATCGATGGTATACCCTTACCATCGCTGGGTTCCCATCGATGGGATAG